CTAACAAGCTCGAGAATCAGCTGTTTAGGAAAAGTACGTCACGCTATTTTGATCATCACCCTATTTTGATCGTAATGACGTATTCAAGCGGAATTCCCCCTCGGGAAATCGCCGAAGAACCGTCTAGCCACGAAAAATTAGCTTTGTTCGGTCTTTTGAGTTTGTAGGGTGCAATGTCCAGCCCAAATCGCAAGTTTTCACTTTTCCTCTGCCCCAATTCAGATCCCTGAAATCGAATCAGCCACCCGAAAACTTAAAATCAAAAAATCGCTGGCACTAATTTGGAATACCCCCGGGTATATGGCCACGAGTTTAGAAAAAAAGCCGGAAAAAATTGGGTTTTGGAATACTTTTTTTGGGGGTCCAGATCGCGTGACCAGCCCATTATCAAGGAAAATCTCTACTACGGTACTACGGTCACTTTTTCGGGGGCACGCCCAGTTTTTGACCCGTCGAGCCTGTGGGATTCTAGGCATATTCAGAAACTTTCGGGTTTGTGACGCACGGCTTTTCGTGGCTGGAGCATTGGATAATTTTGAGGTAAATTTTCTAAACTACCGTATCCTCTGATGCTCGAAAATTGCATTTTTTTGCTGACACACTCGCTTTAATGCTAACTTTTGCATCGACGGCCTTTTTTCTTTTCCTCAAAAACTAGCGTCTTAAAGTTATTATTTTGAATCATTATGCATTGCTAATATCCGCCAAAACACAAAAAAAAGGAATTATTCTAAACGATTCTGAAAACGTAAACTATTAGCGATTCTCGGCGACGTCAAGCTATCAAATGAAAGAATTTCGTGCAATATATTTTGGGAAATAGCTGCAGAGCGATAAACATTTTATAACTAAAGAACTCTGTTTAGTGTATTACCTATTTTGGAATTAATGGGCGGTTTCAGACTCGAAATTCAGCACGCATTGTCGGGTTTTTTAAAGGTAACGTAAAAATAACGTTTGTCTGACAATTTTTTGTAAGACAATTTTTTGTCTTGTTAGTTGGGGATTCTCTCTATTTCTCTCGCGCGCGCTCTCTCTCTCTCTCTCGCTCTCTCTCTCTCTCTCTCTTTTTTTTTGCTACAGTTTTTCAATGTTTTTGTTTGGTTTTCTCAGGTGTCTTTTCATGCAAAATTAACTTAATACAGAATTTTCAGATATATCCAATATCATCAATTATGCGGTTGAATTTGGAAAGTATTCTTCTAATTTTCTTCATTCTATTCGTAATCCCGTCATCGGCCTTCCCCCGACCTCGACGACACCGAAATTCAAATGACTTTCTTTTCATCGGCCGCGCACGAGTTCCCGGTAAATTGTTGCTTATTTTTAGAAATCATGTTTTTCTATTTTATTTTCTTGTCTGGGGCTATTTTTTTTAATCTATTTTTATCCCGCGTTTTTAAAAACATGACAAATGCCCAGATCAAAGCCCGCGGTTCTGAAAAGTCCCCCATAATCTCAAAAAATTGCACAAATTCGCCATGGTCGGAGCCGATTTTGTCTGAGCCGGAGCGTGTTGTTTTGAAATCTCGATTTTTGCACAAAAATAGCTGGAAAATTGTTTTTGCGTTTTTTGTACCGTACCAGGTCCCAAGGCTGACTCTTGCTTGAAAATACCGCTTAGAAAGTGTCACGAAAAAATCTTTGGATACGAAAATTTCAACGCAGTTTCTTATAATAATAATAATAATTTATTCAACACTAACAAGGGAACCACAAGTTGGCACGGTGGAATTTCGAAAAACGCTCGCGGCTACCCCTAGGTTTTCGACGACGGCGATTCCAACGAGCTTGTCTGAATTAGCTAAATCGACCTGTGGACAGAGATACAGCACTTCCGGAAAATGGTCAATTTACATTCGGAGGAATTAGCATTCACCTCAGGGTTTATGAGGGCTTCCCATCTCAGAAGAATCACCAGTTGAATGGCTGGGTGGTAAGCGGCTAGCTTGTTAGGATACTGACCAGGGTTCGAATCCGTTCACGACTTTTTTGTTTTGCTTTTTGGACGGAAGTTTCGATTTTTTTCACATAGTAAAGCTTTTAGTCGTTGGTGATGAGGCCGATTCCTGCAAAAACTTTTTGAAATTGCATCTTTCATGCGACGGCCCCTTTCAAACGAACGAGTAGCTTTTAAGAAGCTTGTAGTTTTGCTCAAAGTTCCGTCCAAAACGCAAAACAAAAAAAGTCGTGAACGGATTCGAACCCTGGTCAGTATCCTAACAAGCTAGCCGCTTACCACCCAGCCATTCAACTGGTGATTCTTCTGAGATGGGAAGCCCTCATAAACCCTGAGGTGAATGCTAATTCCTCCGAATGTAAATTGACCATTTTCCGGAAGTGCTGTATCTCTGTCCACAGGTCGATTTAGCTAATTCAGACAAGCTCGTTGGAATCGCCGTCGTCGAAAACCTAGGGGGTAGCCGCGAGCGTTTTTCGAAATTCCACCGTGCCAACTTGTGGTTGCCTTGTAAGGTTCCAATGAGAAACGCTTAAGAGCATAAAAAAACATGTAGAATCTTAAAAAAAGGTAAAAGTAACACCTTTTTCAGCATCTCGATTTCATGAGGCGAGTTATAATGAGGAGCCCAGATCGCAGAAAACGACAAGAGGAATCTCAGAAGCGCAGCAGGAAGAGGAACGCAGCTTCTTTGATCACTACTTTGGAGCGGTCCGGCGGACGTGGCCGTTTTCACATCTGTGATGTTGTTAATTCAATTTTATATTGCCGGGAATAGGTGCTAATAAATTATTTTTGATTGTAAGGAAAGCATGTAAATCGCAGTTGTCACTCTCTCCCTCTCTATCTCTCGCTGTCTCTCTGATTGTCTCTCTCTCTCTCTTTCTTGCTCTCTCTCGCTCGTTAGCTGTCACTCTCCTAACTCTCGCTCTCTTTCTCTTGCTCTCTCTCTCTCGCTCTGGCTCTCTCTCTCCCTAACTCTCGCTCTCTTTCTCTATCTCTCTCTCGCTCTCACTCCCTCTCGCTATCTCGCTCTTTCTCGCTCTGGCTCACTCTCTCTCTATCGAACTCGAACTCAAACTCGAGCTCAAATTCAATCTCGACGTCAAACTCGAATCCGGACGTGGCAATTTTCCGGAAAGGGTTTTTATTCGTACGTAGTAGTGGTACCTCGCACTCCAAAAACGTATTTATTCCGATCTTCAAATATCTGGGAAATCTTTTCATCCTTGGTGTCTCTTCTCCGGAATGTCGTTTCCGCCATTTGCACACGAAGAATGCTCACGGATATGCCGATACGAGCACATGTTGACGCAACAATCATTGGCCAGTCCAGTGTCGGCCAGGGCTGCCGGCGGCGCACCGGCACCGCAAACCTATGTATATATAGCATTTTAAAGGGGCTAGGCAGCCAAAATTCGCGGGTTCGGGCCGAAAAGCATCCCAAATTTGTTTCGTTTCAAAAAAGGCCAAATATGTGAGGGAAAGAAATCGAGACGAAATCGTATTTTTCCGGGTTCTGGAATGGGATTTTTAGCAAGGCAGTTTTCCACCTATACCTGCCTACCTGATCGGGATATATTGTGTATTTTTGTAGTGCTGTTAGTCATTTTTCATTGCTGGAAAGTTAAGAATGGTTTTTAAGATTTTGAAAATTCGAAAATTTGAGATTTTGTTGGAATTTTCATACATTTTGACCAAAAAGTCAAAATTTTTCGAAACTTTTATTAGTTTTCATATCTGAAAACTATGTAAAATGCTATAAAAACTATTCAGATTCTTGTTATGGAGCCGAAGAGAAACACAGGGAAAATTTGGTTCCCCCGCTAACAGAACAGAACCGGCATTTTCTGTCGTACTGCCCGGTAAGGCGCCCATGCTTGGAACTTGATCATTCACAGGCCAATTTTGAGAATCGAAAAGCCAACATGATCAAAATCCTGTGTTGATTCCAGAAATTACATCAGAATTCTTCACTGCACGCCTTTTCCAGGTTCAGATAGGGACTAGACAACACAACCAAAAAAGCGTTGCGGCTCGACCCCTCTCGAGCTCATTTTGGGCCCTCACCGTATTAACGGCTGCCGGAAGCTGGGTACCGCAGAATCGGCGTTTCGTGTCCCACCAGTCCGCATCGTGAGTATCTCCAGGAAGCCGAGGATTGCTGTGGAGGCACGATTTGGCTTCGGCATTCGGAGCCAAGCAAGCCAAGCCGGCTAGGAGTACCAGTGGGAGTAGGAACTTCATAGTGTCGTTTTGTATTCCGAATGACTTTACAAAGGGCACTTTAGCTTTATATAGGTTCTACGGTTCGAAGATCTCACAGAATATTAGCACATTGTTTTCGAGGCTCCTGCTCGATTTATGCGTTACATTAAACATTTTCATAAAGCGGACGGGGTGTTTTGGCAAAAAAAACGTGGACTAGAATGTAGCTTTTCGGAAACTAACCTTTTTGGCGACGCGTTACAGTAACGCTCAAAAAGTTATCGGGCCGGGAAAGCGTCTGTATCTCGAAAGTCCCACCCCGTAAATTTTGTGCAAATTTCCTTCTAGGTCAATTATCCAACGGGGAATTCGATGTAGATATCAAAATCCCGTGAATCCTTCAGTTTAGTTGTTAAATTGGCAGTTTTAACTATCAAAATTGAAAGAACTCTTCAAAAAATTGCCTTGATACAGATCTCATGTCAGCTTTTCCGAGAGCTGTCGATCGGACGCTTCTGCGGCTTTGATGCCACCCACCGTAATACACGTAAATTTATAAGCAACACACGCGTGTTTTTGCGTAGCGTACTGGGATGAATTTCTAGCACCTTCCGCTCAAACATAAGCGCGCGTACGTTTGTTTTGGTGTGTAGTGTACTAGGAGGTACTTCAGGGTGAGGGCTTTTAGCCATATTAATTTCCAGAGCTTTATTCATTATACCAAACATTCTAAGTTCATTTGAACAAGCAGATATTCTTGTAGAACCATCTGTAGCTGCAAAATCTGCCTCCAACACAGCACGCATCAATAACCCCTTCGCCAAAGCTGCTAACCAGGGACGAGGGCGGAGGCTGACCGTGGCAGATCTGGAATTATGAAATAAGAGTTCAATTAAGTGCATAAAAGTTAAAATGATAGGTTGGCGCTCAATTTTGGTCTGATCAATATGTGGTAGGTTTTGTAGTCCGTCCAAAAAGCACATTTTTCGGGCATCGTTAAGCGGTTTTTAGGCTCTATTAAACCCTGCAAAAGTAGGAATAGGGTCGCGGGATGATACCGTACTATCGTAGTACCGTACGATGGCACTTACCATATTCCAGGTGTAGACAGCTTCCTGGCGACAGATCTTCCTTGGCAGGTCCCACCACCTCGCATCACGGTCCTGGAGCTTCACATGGTCGGAGCACGAGACGAGGCAGATTAATCCCACGAATACCAAAATCGGTAGGGATTTCTGCATTTTCGACGATATGAGCAGAAAAGGCCGAGTTCAAAATGCCCTGCTACATCAAATGCCCTTTTTATATGACGCCCAAAAATTCTGAAAACTTTTGACAACACTTTTTTGGGACGACAGTATTGGACTATGATGTGAAGGGATCAAAAAATTGCATATGCAATGCAGCGAGTCAGAGAGATAGGGATATCGGGAGAGAGAGCGAGAGAGAGCGAGAGAGAGCGAGAGAGAGAGAAGCACATAGAGTATGGCGGAGGTATTAAGAAAGAGAGCGAGAGAAATAAAGTGCGAGAGAGGCAGCATGAAAGAGGCCGGAGAGAGAGAGAGAGAGAGAGAGAGAGAGAGAGAGAGAGAGACAGTACGATAGACAAAGCGCTAGAGAAAGAGGTCATGGCAGACAGAGACGGTAAGTGAAAAAGGGTGAGCGAGTGATGCCATTTTTTCGTGACCTCAGTTTTCTAACAGTTTATTCTCAAAAAAAAAAATAATTCAATCCATTTTTCATTGAAGTTGCTTGAGCAGCTCTTCCTTTCCGTGGTAGCAGATATGGTACCACACCCATCGATAGGTACAAGATCTTCCGCCCGTACAGCAATGGTCAATAATACCATTATTGGAGGCATCGGCTCCCGGACCGGGCTCAGGCTCGTGGCATACCTAAGAAAATGGAATTCGTGCTCTCGCTTGCTCGCTTGATCTCTCTCTCTCCCTCTCTCTCTGTCTCTCTCTCTCCCTCTCTCTCTCTCTCGCTTAGACACCTACGATATCGTAAACATGGACAGCTTCGGCTCGACAAATCTTTCTTGGGGTGTCCCACCACTTAGCATCGTGGTTCTTCGGTGGTTTCGACTTAAGAGAAACCTTACTAAGTCTTGAGATACCAGCTTAAAGGCACTAGCAGTCCGAGAATTGACCCTTACGTTGACTAGGTGTCGACAGCTAGACACGATTCTGAATGCCACCAGCCCTTAACTCTCAAATAAAAAGTCATATTTTTCATTTTTATCGAGTAGTCGAGACCTAGGCTCGGCAGCCGTAGGTTTCATAACTTCCTCGTATGCCTCGAGCTTAAGAAACGCAAGATGCACAGCTTCATTTTACCGTGCATTTCGCTTCGATGGCTGGCAGCAAGCAGAAAAGACCGAGGACGAAGAGAATTGGCAGGAATCGGTTCATCTTGAGAGCTGGCAGTCAGTAATGTAGTAAGCGACTACAATGCTACGTTTTTATACCGTCTGGTTGCGATATTATCATATGGAAAAAGTCGGACCCGGGCCAGACACATCGATATGCCAATAACAGGTTATATTTAGTCTCGTATTCTGTACAGGTGTCTGGGTATCGTAAGAAAGGGCATTTTCTTTCTTCGACCTGATTGTCATTTTGTATTAGCAGTCGTTTGGAATTTTGTGAATTTTTTCTTCAGTTACTTGGCTTCGTCACGGAAAAAAGACCAAAATATCTGAGAGTCAGGGCGAGCTAGCAGTGACATTTGAGAAAGGTCTTGAACCTCTTTTTCCGTGCCAGAAAGAAGAAAGAGAGGGTTGGCGGTCACGATTTCGAAAATCACCATTTCGAAAATCACCATTTCGAAAATCACCATTTCGAAAAATCACGATTTCGAAAAACACCATTTCGAAAATCAGCATTTCGAAAAGACACGATTTCGAAAAGACACCATTTCGAAAATCACCATTTCGAATAATCACGATTTCGAAAATCACCATTTCGAAAATCAGCATTTCGAAAATCACCATTTCGAAAATTACCATTTGGGAACACAGGATTTAGCAATAGCCCATTTCCCAGTCGCAGAAAAAAATGATTTTCGTTGGCTGGTTTGAGGTTCGGGGGTCTATTTTTCCACTGGAGATATGATTAATTTCATTATAGACACCACTAAAACAATTTCTATTACATCACTAGTCATATCCGAGAAAAACCGTGGTTTTTCGACACTGCAATTTTTATGCCTGTTTGAAGACCGGGTCTTTTCGAACTGGGGATTTTTCGAAATGGTGTTTTTCGAAATGGTGTTTTTCGAAATCGTGACTTTTCGAAATGGTGATTTTCGCAATGGTGTCTTTTCGAAATGGTGTCTTTTCGAAATGGTGACTTTCGAAATGGTGTTTTTCGAAATGGTGTTTTTCGAAATGGTGATTTTTCGAAATGGTGATTTTCGAAATGGTGATTTTCGAAATGGTGATTTTCGAAATCGTGACAGGGAATCAGAAAGAGAGAGGGAGAGAGCGAGCGAGAGAGAGCAAGAGGGATAGCGAGAGCGACTGAGAGAAAGGCAGAGAGAGAGAGAGAGAGAGAGAGAGAGAGAGAGAGAGAAAGAACTGTGGTAAAATTTCCGGAATATTCATTACGCTTCATATCGAATTATTTATTCTGTCACAGTCGTTTCGGTCTTCCTCCCGGCAAATCCTGGAGATGGCCATCCGGAGGGCAATTCTTGTAGAGGAGCCACATCCGCGAACATCCGGGCAAGCGACAACAAGGCCCGGTCGACGCTGCTAGAGCCCGAAATTGCGTTGCCGCTGGCTTGGTCAGCCCGTCGTTGCATACCTTAGATTGCACATATTTTTTGGGATTTTGTTAAGTCGTCTTAATTATTAATTTTCGTAGGATAAGCCATACCTCTGCAATAGCATTGTTGAAATCGTGTCCGCTACAAAGTACGGCCCGATGTTCCCACCATTCCTTCGGCTGCTCCCAGGTATGGATACAACCGAACAAGCCTAGAAAGAAAAGAATACCGATCTGTAGCTGCATCGGAATCCGATTTCCCTGCAGTTTTTCTGTGGCTTTTCAAGGTATGAGGCAGAGATTTGCATTTTTTGCAACTTTCCGCTGATTATTCAACAGCTTCCGAAGTGCCAAGGGGCAAAGAGCAGGTTTTAGATTTTGAGTTCCACAAGAAGTGAGCATATTTCGGAGATTTGATATTTGCAGTGACCTAGCTTCTAGTTACAGCAACCGGGGTTACTGTAAATAGGAGTAATTTTTGAGGCAGAACTGGACTGTTAGGGAGGGGGGCGCGGGTTGCAGGGGAAAACGGTTTTTTTGTTTTTCCACCTGCTGATGATATGTTATGTATTTTTATAATGTTTTTGGTAGGTTTTGATTGCCCGAATGTTATGAAAAAATTTTCTACAAAATCCAACATTTTTTGTCATTTCTCATACATTTTTGACCAAAAAGTCGAACATTTTTTGAAAATTTTTATGACTTATTTTATTTTTATCTCGAAAAATTATGTAAATGCTATCAAAATGGTTTATATTTTGCTATAGGATCGCAGAGAATCACAGAAGAAAAATTTGGTTCCCCGCTAGAAATCCACCCCCCTCTGCTAACAGGCCAGAACCGTACCCGGTTGACCGTAACGGTCTGGTAGGTCGGGTACTGTGCATGCGAGTACCGCCTTCATCCTTATCCTTTTATTCATATTCTCGGCCAGCCGGCCTACGCTTTGTCCCCGGGCAGCAGTTTCGTGCAGATCTGAAGTGGGTGGTCAGCCGGCGGTGGCCTGTCGCTTCCGCCCGGGTAGTGACATAGGTAATGCTCGTTGCACGACTGATAGAACATCCAAATGCGCGAACATCCCTTGTTGTTGCAACAGTTCCGGTCATATATATGTGCCCAACCGTCATCGGTTAGATGGCCGTGCAGCCGCGACACGGGAGGATCCGGGGGTTGCGGGGAGCAGATCTGCAAAATGGCGCCATGACAAAAACTATGTTTAAGACTGCCACTCCACAAGGAGGAAGACTTACTTTAAACAAAATCGACAAAACTATCTTAGCCCACTTTTTTTTGCCTGTTTTTGCTATATTATTCTATATATACAGGGTATCTCAAAAAAGCACCACCTCTAGCGGTCCGGGGGAAACTCAGATCGGGGTGATTTTTATACCATTCGAAACTCTCGAAAAGGCGAGAAAACAAGCAAGCTTCATTTTCTAAAATTTATTCCTGTTCGTCCGATATTCAACGTTTTTGTAAAAAACAGGTAGATTTCAATAGGAATTTCGCAATTAGCATGCAGATCTCGTGTAAAGCTGCCGTTTTTATGGTTTTTGGAGGTAAAATTCGCAAATAAAAATCCTACCTTATATAATTTTGGCGTGTATCTCTGTGTGTGTGTGTGTGTGTGTCCGGCCACCACTTTCGAGGCCCGATTTGAGGGCCTTCCCGTGTCCAAAACGCCCCAATTCTTCGTTACCCGGGGGAATCGACCCTCCCCTTTTCGATGGCGTTTTCAGAATAGCGATAAAATAAAAGTTTACAAAGTTAAGGCCGGTTTTTCTAAATTCTGGGGCGTTGGAGAGCTAATTTGCATAATGTGGAAAAATAGAAATTTCCTCATTCTTGCCAGTTGCACTCGCGAGTGTGGTCGGTTAGGGGGGTCCGAAGGACCCGAGCTACCGGAAAGTCAAATTCCTCCTGCAAAGGCCGCATTCCAGCGCCCAAGGCCCGCGAAGCGGGTTTTGGGCGCTGGTACACAATAAGGAAATTAACCTTTTTTGTTTTCTTGCCTTTTCAGGGGCTTTCGATAGATACTTAAACGATGAAAATCAGACACGACTGTGCGTCGCTAGAGGGGGGTGCTTTTTTGGGACACCCTGTATTTCTATATTTTATGTTTTTCGATGCTATATCGAATGGCGTTACAAATAAATAGCAGAAAGTTTGATGCAAATTCTAGGAGAATTAAACTGGCAGTAAAATAAAAGTTTGCCCAGATGGGTGACTGCGTAAAGCTCAACCTTTCAGTTCATTCATGGCATCAATGTGCAACGAAAGGAGCACCTACCGAGTCCTTGAAGACGATATAGTCGTCGCCGCACAGCCTTTTGCGGTAATGCCACCACTCTTCGCTGTATTTCTCGCCGTCGGGACCAAGCGGAAATGGCACCAGTCGTTGGGCCGGGTTTCCGGAGCACTTGACGTGGGCGCCTTTAAAGAACCATTAAAAGAGCGGGCAGTGCATGACTATCGAGTTGTTTGCTACGGATGCTTTGGATTATTTTGCAGCCACTGGACCCCTGATTGCGTTTTTTTTTAGTAATTTCAACTCGTACAAACTGGATTGTGTTCGTGTCCGCGGTAGGCGAATACCTGAAGCGAATAGCACGCAGCCCAGCCATAGCAAATTCAGGATGAGGATCTTCATCTCGGCAGCGAAATCAGATTTCGCTCATCTTTTATAGCCTTCTAACCCATACGAATGTCAGAGATCAGCCCAAAAAATAGTTGATTGTTTTCGCGGTTTCTGCAAATTTATACAATTTCAATGCGTACAGTGGAGTCTTGCAAGATTTTGCCTTGTTTTTATGAGATTCTGGCGAACAGAAACCAGGAGAATAGATATGCGATTAGAACATAGTGTTGGCTGCAACAATTGAATTGAAATGCGCGTAAAAATCGTCGGGCAACCCGTGCCATTTGTTTTTCTTGACCTGGAAAGACGGGGTTAGCGGGCGTAGCCCGACTAACCCGTTTTTGAAAAATGTAGTCTTGTATTTGTTTGTTAGTCATATTAATTCGTTAAAGTGTGATGCATCCGCCTGATAAATCCAGATTGCGAATCCCAGACTTTATGGCCGTACTGTAAAAACTAATTAAATTCGGTGATCTTTATTTTAACACGCCGAAGTTTCGCTTTTGTAGTCAGAAGATCACAAGGTTTCGAAGCTCATCAAATCTAAAGCAAGCGTAGATCTCTCTGAATCCTGCTCTCCCTCTCTCGATGTCTTGCTCTCTGACCCTCTCTCTCTCTCTCTCTCTCTCTCTCTCTCTCTCTCTATCTCCCTCTCGCTCACGGCCACTAACCTTACAGCACAGATTGCCGGCACCGACTTTGTAACCGGTAGGACAGACGCCACCAACAGCAGCTAAAACGCGAAACATTAACACACAGAGGAAATCTTAAGGTTCTATAGACTCTGGGCATTTCTAGCAACTTACGCCCTATACAATTCGGGTCAGACCAGAAAACGCAATGACCGGGGTCGAGACGGCATCCGCTTGGACACAACCCATTTATTGGCGCTAAATTGCGGGTTTTTCTTAAAAAAAGACCAGCAATTTTCTCACTTCCACAATCGCCAAAGGTCACCCGGGTGCACAGCGTTTCCACAATGCAGCCACAGGGGCACACTCCGTTTTTGGCCACTGAAAACGCGAAAAATTTCAGAATATTTACGTATCCGCCACGAAAGCGTTGATTTCAAAATAGCTGCAGATAAATATAACAAAAAAATAAATTACTTACTACCGCAATTATCCCCGTTCGCGCCGAGACCCTAAAATAATGAATTTTAATTCGTGCGGAACGCGACACGCGACGCATACGCTACTGCAGGGATCTTAATCCATTACGTATTGAAAGGGTACCAGAGCCATATCCAATCCATAGTAAAATCAATAAAAAAACGTAGCCTATCGTTAACCCACCACGGCGATTAGCGCACACAACAGCACAATGAAGCGCATCGTAAAAAAGGAGCGGACAGAACTTTTCGAGAGTATCTCTCGGTCTTATAAAGGCTTCGAAGCGGATCACCGCCTGGCACCGCGAATCGGATTAATTGGCCCACGCCGTCTGATTATAGTTTAACCCAGCCGGAAAACGAACTTTCTATCCCAAAAGTTTTTAAGCCAAAAAGCCGTTTGAGGCGTCAATGCTGGGCTAGCGTTTTTGGCTTGAACTTGATAAGAAAAACTAGAGTGAAAAACTAAACAGATACAGAATAGGGCGAGAGCGAGAGAGAGAGAGAGCGAGAGAGCGAGAGAGAGAGAGGGAGGAAAAAAGCGATAGAGGTAGAAAGAGAGAGAGCGAGAGATTAAGCGTGTGAGTTGGTGCGAGAGAGAAAGAGAGCGAGAGCGAGAGAGACAGTGAGTGAGAGGGCGAGGGCGGGGGCGAGAGAGAAACGAAGTGAGAGAGAGAAAAAGGAAAGAGGGCGAGAGAGGGAGGTAGAAAGTGAGCGGGAGAGAGAGTGAGCGTTAGATATAGAGTGTAGGAGCGTAAGCCTTCCTTTTTCTAAAAAACAAAACCATAAAACCATAAAATTCAGTGCGAAAAACCATCGATTCATGCCATAAAACACTTTATTAAGATGTTGCCATGTGATCTTCAAAAAAATTCGACGAAAACAATCGTAAAGCGATAGATAATACGTTAATGGATTGGAATTGGCGAGTGGAGGAGATGCCAGATTTTTTCTCCTCCGCCTAGACGATGAAGATGTCGCGGCCGACGCGGTAGTCCTCGTTGTGCTTCGGCTTCTTTCTGAAGGGCAAAATTGTTTTTTTTTAAACGAATGACACTATCTTAAAAAATTCCTGAAACCTTAAACGCTAACGATAAAATCGGCTTATTGGTCGAACAGTGACCGGTCTAGCCGGTCCTTTTAAGCTATTTTCAAGGTGAGTGGTTTAGAGACAGCTACTTTAAAAGTCTCAAACTTATTGTTGTTGTAAAAATATGAAAACTGCAAAATAAAAAGTTGAAAAGTACTGGAAAATTATCTTTTCAAAAATTCCGCCACCATACCCCCGCTTGAGCCTCTTGGCCGTCTTCTCCGCCGCCTCATCCGGCGGCTCATCTCCCTTGAAGCGGCCGATCGAGCAGCTCGTGTCGCCCTTCGTCTCGTCCTACAAAAATGGGCATTTTATTACTAGTTAAATTACGGCTGCAAGGCATTAATAGACACCACAAATACGATGCGATACCCCAGTGGTCATCTTGTTCTCGACGCGCGCCTTCACGCACGCCTCGAACTCGTCGCGGTCGCTGTCCGGGTCTTCGGTGAGTTCTTTTTTCTGGATGGGATTTATGGGTACAGACCCCTTAAGGAATTGATACCTTAACCTCCTCCTTGGGCGGGCGGTTGAGAACAAAATTCGGCAAGATTTTGCCCAGGAAATCCGGGGCCACGGCTCCAATGTTGATCTCGTAGCGCTAAAAAAGGGGATTGAGGTGTCGCTGTCCCTTGAAGTGTTCTGGGAACTGTAAATTCGGCTCAAAATCGTAAAAACGTTGCTATATCTCGTTTTGTCACTCTCTCTCTCTTCTGTCTCTTGCTCTCTGTCTGTCTCTCTCCCTCTCTCTCTCCTCACCCTGGCGCACTTGTCGATGATCTCGTGCAGAAGCACACATTCCGGCCGATCGGTCTCATCAAAAGTACGGAGGATGCGGAACAGCTGCTCAAAGTCGGGCGGCAGCAACTTGTCGAAGTTCTTGACTGAAAAAGCAGGCTAGCAGAAAACATTGAGGAATTTCTAGCTCGCCAAAAAATTCCCCACATTTTCCCTGCCGCATCTTGACCTTGTCGTCGAGCATTTTCGCCGGCTCCTTGCTCTTCCACGGCACCGCGCCCATCTTGAACACGTCGATGAAGGTGAACAACCTGGAGGCGGGGGTTTAAAGGGGCGGTGACAGCAAGAAATACAGAGATTCGAGGTCGTCGCGAAAGTAGACGGTCTTCTCCCGCTGGGCGGCCACACTCTGGAACACCTTCGAGCCGCGGATCGACGATTTGTAGTCGTCCTTGTAGACTCTAAATGGGGAAGTGCACGTTTTGCAAATGACGGCAAGTTTTGGGCATGCGGTACTAGTAATTTCGGAATACGGTAAATTTTGCCGGCTACGATGCTTTCCAAATAACGTTCCAGATATGTTTTAAAACGATTTTTAAAGATTACGGTACCTTTTACTGACTAGATTTGGGGAGAAACGCTATTAAATAAAAGACGCTAAAAATTACTGTAACTTGTCGCCTACGGCAATTTTCAAAGGACGTTGCCACAGACCGAATTTTACAGGTTACGGTATTGCGTCTTTTCCGATTACATTACTTTCCAAATGACGCCCTAAATTACAGTATTCCACTGACTACAGTAATTTACAAATTACGGAACGGGCCTGAGTACGGTACTTTCGAAATTACGACCTTTTGGAGCTTCACCGATTTACAGTTACCACCGGGGTTGAAAAACCGCTTCGCGGCTTTTCAACCCTGGACCCGTCTCGGACTTCTGAAAATTTGACTTAACATAGGGCTTGCCGAATGCCGCTCACCAAAAAATGAAAAGCGCACGCTCCCTCCATTTTTATAGGCTACGGCCACTTCCGGTCAATGGTAATTGCCTCCTAACAAAGAGGTTTTTCGATATATTTACAAAAACTTAATTTTAATAGCGAAAACAGCCGGTTTTCTTAAATTTTATATATGTGCACCCATCTCAAGACCATTACGCACCTAATGACGTATCATACGTACCTTAAAAACCTTCCCCTGTGGCTGTAGGTGCGGTACATACTTACGGAAGCTGCATGCAAATATACACACACACACACACACACAAACACACACACACACACACACACACACACACACACACACACACACACACACACACACACACACACACACACACACACACACACACACACACACACACACACACACACACACACACACACACACACACACACACACACACACACACACACACACACACACACACACACACACACACACACACACACACACACACACACACACACACACACACACACACACACACACACACACACACACACACACACACACACACACACACACACACACACACACACACACACACACACACACACACACACACACACACACACACACACACACACACACACACACACACACACACACACACACACACACACACACACACACACACACACACACACACACACACACACACACACACACACACACACACACACACACACACACACACACACACACACACACACACACACACAGACACTATTTTTTTATATATAGTAGGATGTAGGTGTACGTTAACGTTCAAAGTACGTAAAATACGGAGTTTAAGACTGACGTCCTGAAGTCCCCTTCCAAAAACCGACTTATGCTCCCTGTTGCCCTTCTTGACGTAGTGCAGATGCGAGTAGCCCACGACGAACACCAGCGACTCGTGCACGTGGCTGCCCACGCAGAACGACTTCGGCGAGACACGGCTGAAGACAAAAGAATGTGATTTTACCGTCCCGTTAATTACCGATGCACGTAGCCGAGGCGGTGCAGCTCGGAGAGGGCGCGCAGAATCTGGTCGCACATGTAGAAGGCCATCTGGTGACTGAAAAGTCGGTTGCGTGGGGAATAAAAATAGCTTTAGGTTTCTAGGCACTTGTGCATTATCGGGGAAGGGGTGGACAGTTTTTTCTCTAGCATCCCGTTCCGTACGTGAAATTGCGCTGCAGATGAAGCTGGCGGAGGTCGTCGAGATTGGGGCCGAGCAGCTCGCAGGTGTGGAAACGGAGCTCATTCAGCTCGCCAAAGTCGCCCGTCTGCTTCGTCACGCTAGAATCATGATCATCTCGTGGATACGGTAGGTGTCCCTGACTTGATAAGGTGGCGACTGTAGCGACGGTCGGCCAGCGGGTATCGTTGCGCCAAGCGGATGAAGCACTGAAAATGGGCATTTTAACGGGACAATTCTAGGGAGCTTTCGCATTATCGGGGGGGGTCTAAAAACACCGTAAGCGTAATTATTTTGATACCTTTTTAGTGAAATTTAACCGTAATTTAGGTCGAAAAACTATCTCAAACACATTAAAAAATACAAACTAAGATTTGGTAAAGAAATCGGCCATTTTGGTCGAAAAATAAATATTTTGCCGTTTTTTAACAATTTTTAAGGTTTTTTTCGCGTAATAATATTAAAAACAGTCTCCCCCCCGATAATGCAAAAAAAGTTAACCGTTTTAAGTTTAACCTAAAAAACTTCGGTTTATATTCAAAAATGTATGCAAAATAGAAAAAATTGATTCGCCCCCCGATAACGCACAGGTACCTAAAATTAGCCTATAGACCATACTATAGCCTTTAAAGACCCTCATCTCACATCGAGCGATCTGAACGCCTTGGGGCAGTTGATGTGCTCGGTGCGCAGGCACATCCGCGTCTTCTCCACCGGCTCCTCGGCCTGGAAAGAGAAAATCACGTTTTTCGAGATTTTGCAAAAATCTCTGCTCCCTTGCCCACCTCGTAGACATCGCCAAACTCGCCAAAGTGCAGCACGCTGGTGATCTTGAGCGGATCGCCGAGGATCGTCTGCACGACGGTGCCCACCGGGATCACCTGATGCTCGTACTGCAAATTTGCATTTTCTGGTTGCAAAAATCGACATACCTTTTGGGTGACGGTCATGAAGGGAAATGCCTGGATTTTGGCAGAATTGCGTCATGCGCCAGAAATATGCAAATTACACAAGTTCCGGTCTAATCAAAGGCGGAGAAATTGAATTTCCAATTTTTGAGTACTGGACTATTAGCGGGGGGAGAACAGATATCAGAGAGACAGCCAACTTTTTCCTTGATACCCAATTTTTCTAATATAAAACGGGGAAGCGTTTCTAGGCGGTTTTTGCGATTCCTAAAACACAAAAAGTTTAAAAGTTTATTCGTTTTTTTGTCAATATGTTAAAAATTCGTGGTTTCGCCGAATTTCGACCAAAATCTTCGATTTTTAGGAATTTTAGAGTTTCTAGATCCGGTAAAAGTCTAGGAACCCCCCAGCCGGCACCAACTTTTGTGTCTCGGCCCCCCTTTGTTCTAGCGATCTCTAAAGTATACCAAAATGCTCGCGGTAGGCTAATTAGTTAGAATACATTGCATTTGAGTCGAAAAAGTAGCGAAAAATAAAAATAGGGAAGGTAGAAAAGTTGAAAAGTCGGTTGGGGTGGGTTCCTAGACTTTAGCCATAGCTATTTTTCCGCTTAAAATCTAATGAAAATTTATTGAACTCAATTGAAACGTTTAATTTTACGTTACTAAGCACTTCAGGATAATGCGAAAGTAAAGGTGGCTTTGATCTCGATCCAGAAGTCGCAGCACAGTCCAATTTTTCAAACGCTTTTCCCATGTCAAACACTTTACTTTTTCGGGCCGGCGCTCGCCTGCAATTGCCAAAAAATGTCGGCATTTAGATTTTTTGGGGTGGTGCCGGGCGGGGGGAGGGAGATGGCTTGTAGGGATTGTTGGCACAGCTGCCCAATTACACGAAAATCCGTGGATAAAAGGCTGGACATGGGTCAGTGGGGGCGGAAAAGTCATCGACGATGTTCGCTCTCACTACTTTCTGCATTGGAGCTGTACTCGCTGCGCAGGTTGGTCATCTACGGTTTTAGAGGGGGAGAGAGAGCAATGGTGAGCGAGAAAGAGATAGCGAGAGAGAGAGAGGGAGAAAGAGGGGGAGAGGAAGAGATAGTCAACCAAGTCAATTCAAAACCTAGGCATTCGCTGATTCCTATGGTCCTGGTGCTCCCAGTTGCCCAGCTTTCACCCCCACCGACCTGAGCAGCGTCAAGGCTCGTACGTTTTAATTTAAAGGAACCTGCAAGGCAATGCTATGGCTTTTTAGTTATAAATCCGCTTTGAATTTTGCCGCACCGGTCTTTCGCAACGGATTTTTCACGTCGACTAAAATTTATCCCGACCCGTGCGCGTTCCGTGCGCTGCGTAGCGTAGCGTATCGGCAAAAACGTATGAAAGCTCGAGTCCAAAATCCATAACTATGGCTTGCACGTCCCTTTAACCTCTAATTAAGCGGCCGTCAACGGTGTGTGCAGCGACCCTACCCTTGTCTGCCGCTATATCACGACCTACCTGGGCAGCAGCAATGCCTGCGTTACGGTAAATTAAAAAAATTAGCAATTTTATAATCCGCTTCAGGCCGCCAGTCTCTGCCAGAAATCGACGTACATCGACCCGAACTCCGTAGCTGGACGTAAGTTATCCTGAAAAGCGTCATCCGCGTCACGAAGCGTGCATTTTGCTTGACCCGCTCGAAGACGTCGTATTCAATTACACATTGGAAATGCGGCAGGCGTATTTTGTGTCGCAGAAAAGCACTCTTGAAATGAATCACACGTACCTATGAACCTGTTGAAGACATCGTAATACGTGACCATCAGGAAAACGGCAGGCGTCGCCTCACGGCCGTGGCAAAAAATTACGTGGATCCAAATTCAATAAAACCTCAGATATAACGATAATTTGCCCGTCCCTTTAAACCTTACTTTCTAGCCGCCGACGCGAACCTGAACTGCCCGAAAACCACGCACTGCGTCTCCGGCTCGACCACCAATGGCTACACGGGCAGCTTCTGCGTCTTTGACAGCTACGGACGTATTACTACTACTACCCCTTAATGACGTAATGAATAAACCAAGCAAAATTGACTCGCTTACCAGAATCCAAAAATTTCATTCTCCCCACCGGCTGAACATAGTCATTACGTAAGCTCGGACAGCTCGGAATCTGCGCGAACTTCGTAGCTAGCTTGGCTAGGGCTTGGCTTAGGTCCGGCCAGTTTTGGCGTAGGCTGACATTTAGCTCCGGTTTTGGCAAAGGCTTACGAGGGAAGCGCACGACCGGCCCATGGGAAATTGACACGAAACATGGTGAATCGCATGGAATCGGATACCGGGATTCCGATGCTGTTATCAGAATCTGCTAAACGAAACGGAGAAAAAGTTATGAGACTTCAAAGTTTGTAAAATCGCCTAAAATGCTCTTTTATCGGCCTGTAAGGGCCTGTGGAAGCTTCATAACTTTTTCTCCGTTTTGTTTAGCAGATTCTGATAACAGCAGCGGAATCCCCGTGTCCAATTTTATCAGATTCGCCATGTTTCGTGTCGATTTCCCCCTGGGCCGGTCGTACACTTCCCCTTGTTGGTTTAGGGTTGGCTTTGGTAAAGTTTAGGCTTAGGCTTAGGCTTGGCTTTAGCTTGGCAGAGGCCTAGTTTCGGCTTGACTTAGGCTTGGCTTTGATTTAGCTTAGGCTGGTTCAAGCCTATCTAGCTTGGGAAATTCGTTTCGCGCTGAGAATCGGAGGGAGAGAGAGAGAGAGAGATGGAGATAGAGAGAGAAAGAGAGAAAGTGAGAGAGAGAGAGAGATAGAGGGATAGTGAGAGAGAAAGAGATCCGGAGCAGACTGCTCAAGCTCTCAAAGCCTTTAATACATTTTTAGTTTTGATTTGTGGCCCTAAAGAGGGCCGTTGGGTTTGGGGGTTTGTTTGTTGTTGTGTCAAGCAGACGTTGCGTCGTAGGCAGTCACTCCAAAAGCTTAGGCGCGTTCTCCACGGATGCGGCGTGCCAGCGGGTGTAAAGTCACTACCCCGAAAGTCACTACCCCGAAAAGTCACTACCCCGAAATAATTTGCATGATTTTCATAGGAAAACGGCATGAAAACTGTATTTTTCCGGGAAAAACAATACTATCATTTTTCGGGGTAGTGACTTTCGGGGTAGTGACTTCTCGGGGTAGTGACCGGACGCCGGGCCAGCTGGATGTCCTTGGGCATGATGGTGACGCGCTTGGCGTGGATGGCGCACAGGTTGGTGTCCTCGAAGAGTCCGACCAGGTAGGCCTCAGAGGCCTCCTGGAGGGCCATGACGGCGGAGCTTTGGAAGCGGAGGTCGGTCTTGACGTCCTGGGCGTGGCTTTGGCTTTGCCGTTGGCTTTGTTCTCGATCCAGAAGTCGCCGCACAGTCCAATT